AAATGATGAAGGGCAGGGGTTTAGGCACAAATATATTAAAAAATCCTATTTTACACAATGAAGAGTAAATGCACACATTAATGACTATACAAACAGGTTTGAAAGTCACAGTTAAGAAGATGGACTGTTTCAGGTTCCTCACTTATTTTGGGGGAGTGGTATCTCTATATATTCTCTTTGTGGGTTTCCTGTCGGAAGGACAATGACACACTGTACGGAAATGTGGTCCAAGCTAGCATTTCTTATGCTAGAATTCCATCTGTTAAGACACACCACTAAAATTGTACTTCTTCTAGGATTCGGAATGGATCCAAGAGTAGAAATCCCAGGGTTTTTTTTTTGGGGGGGGGCATGATGGAAATAACCAAAAATCTGTTTTTTTCTGATTAAACCACTATCACGACTTCTCCACAAACTGGCTTCTCTTATCAGTCGATACCAAAAGAAGCTGGTGGTAATTTATACCGAAGAAAAGCCGTGCCAAATCAACTAGACGGCAATATGGCCCACACTCTTCCTCACCTTGACTTGGAAAAAGTGAGAAAGGAGATATTTATCTCTTTAGGGACATAGCACTGTTATGGTCATTAAGACTTTGGGAACCATAACCAGATCTGGGAGGTTTTTAATGAAGAAGGGGAAAAAAAAACTTAGCGAGATCCCGAAAAGCATCGCCAGCAGATGAAACACCTATGAGTACTACTACGAGTTGGAATTAGTCATCTTGGTGGCAGGGACTACTCCCTTCCCTCCTCAGGAGTCCCCACCTCTGCCCAGAACGAACTTGGTACTAACCTGGCCGCCTCCTGAAAGGTGCCCGGCCAAAGGTTACTTCCAACAGCTGGGAGGAAAGCGCTTCCTAGGGGTGGAAGCGCTCGCCTGCCGCCGCGGAGGGAACAACTTGCCAGACCCCACGGTGCCCCTCGGACTCGATCTCTGCTCAGGAAGCTGCGCTGTCCGCACGGGGCGCTCACCTGTAGTACACGGCCAGGTGCCCCTCGTCGATCTTGTGGATGGAGGCGTAGAGGAGGATCACCACCAGCCCCACCGCCGCGGCCACCAGCACCCGGGCTTGAGTCATATTCATCCTCGTTCCTCCTGGGCAGGGCAAGGACAGGACCCTCAGTGCCCACCCTGGGAAGAGCCCGCGGACGGTCGCGGGCGGAGGCGGGAAGTCCCGCGCTCCGGCCCCACGCTCCCCTCGCCAACCCCCGCTCCCGTGGCCCCGGCTCGGTGCAAGTCGTGACACCCTTTTTCTCCGGCTCCCCTAGCAGAAGGCTCCGCCTGGGGACCGCCCTGGCCCCGGGCACCAGGAGAACCGCGACCCCTCAGCCGCGCCTCACCGGTCAGTGACGCATCGCCCCCGCCCGCACGTGCAGCCGCCTGCCGGCCCCGCCAACTGCTGCCAACAGCCGGCCCCGCCCACTTTCCCGGCACTGCGGCTGCGCGGGGACGCACGCGACGCAACCCCCGCCCGCCACTCGGGAGACGGAGAGCGGGCGGGACAAAATTGGCCTAGGAGCACATAGCGCGGCTCTTCCTAGCCCTTTATTTCATGGGGGTCGACCCCTGGGCCAGGGGCTTGTCCGGGCGCTCCAGTGCGGAAGGCTCAGTCCCTCAGTGTAAAGGCTATTCTTTCATCCTTTTGTGATCTGTACCTAGTCTAACTGGCAAGGTACCCACGTCCTTCAGGTACACATCCTTAGAAACTACCAGGAACGAGGGGTTTGAGTTCAGTGGAGAAGCTATTCCATCTGTGTTAATCATTCAAGCTTGGGCTGACTTTTTTGTGCTAGAACGCTACAAAATGTAGCAGTGCTTTCTGAAGCCACCCAGAAACAGGATCAGAATGATCTATGCTGAATGTGGGGGTCGGGATTGTCTTGTCAGGAGGCCAAAATGAACAGTGAGTGCCGGCGAGGTGGAGAGGAGTTGTATGGTAGGCTAGGCTAGAACCAGATTTAGGAAGTCTGGGACGCGTTTTTCGGCTGATAGAAGAACTGGATGGCAAGGAGACTATTTTTATATGTATGGGTGTTTAGCCTGCACTCATGTCACCACATGTGTGCCTAGTGCTCTCAGCAGTCAAAAGAGGGCAGGATCCCCAGGAACTGCAGTTACATACTGCTGTGACCTGCCACATGGGTGCTGGGAAATGAGCCAGGGTCCGCTGGAAGATCAACATGTGCTTGTTTTGTATTTATCTTTATTTTTATTTATTTATTTATTTTTGTCGAGGTAGGGTTTCTCTATGTAGCTTTGGAGCCTGTACTGGATGGAACTTGCTCTGTAGACCAGGTTGGCCTCGAACTCACAGAGACCCACCTGTTTCTGCATCCCGAGTGCTGGGTTTAAAGGCGTGCGCCACCACAACTCTTATCCTGAGCCATCTCAGTTCCCTGAGACATTTTTCTCATTTCAGGTTTTAAAATTCCACACCACGTGGATCTGGTGAGATGGCTCAGTGGATAAGGGAGTTTGTAGACATGCTTGATGACTTCATTTCATCCCTCGATCCTCATAGAAGTGAAAAATGGAGAACTGACCCCAAGAAGTTGTTCTCTGATCTCCACATATAAAGTCCTTGCTCCACATCACACACCAACAGACACAATAATAATAATAATCATATAAAGTGTAGGGGGGAACCCACCATGTGCGTGCATTACAAAACAAAGAGGAAAAGGGTAGAGTTCAGAGATATAAGAACACGTGGGAAATACAGACATCCCATTTTACTAAAAGCAGAAATGAGACAACTGGACAAGTTTGAGAAGGTTGGAAGGATTTCTGAACTCCGGTGCAGGAAAAACCAGCAAGCAGTTTGGCTGAGAGTGAAGACAGGAAGCTGGGAAACAAATGGGTGAAGAACAGCCGCCAAATGTTATGGTACTACATCACTCCATTCGTGCCCCATCAAAATGCACCTATGCAAATACTTTACTAACAAACGAACAATTTCTATTAATTAATTGAATTTATTTATTTTGGTTTTTGGAGACAGGTTTTCTCTGTGTAACTTTAGAGCCTGTCCTGGAACTCCCTCTGTATACCAGGCTGACCTCAAACTCACAAAGATCCGAGTACTTCAGCTTCCCCATTTGCTGTGGGATAATGCTCTTGTACACGGTAAAGATTTGTCATTTAATAAGATGCTGATTGGCCAGTAACCATGCAGGAATTATAGGCGGGGTGACCAGATCAAGAGAATTCTTGGAAGAGGAAAGGCAGAGTCAGTCACCAGCCAGATGCGGAGGAGGCAAGATGAGAATTCTGCACTGAGAAAAGTTACCAAGCCATGTGGCTAAACATAAATAAGAACTATAGGTTAACTTAAGTTGTAACAGCTAGTTAGTAATAAGCCTGAGAAATAGGCCAAACCATTTATAATACAAGCCTCTGTGTGTTTCTTTGGGACTGAAATGGCTGTGAGACCAGGAAGGACAGAAACTTATGTTTACACTCAGTACTAGGTATAAAGGCATGTGCCACCATTGCCAGTCAACTATAATTTTGATACTTAAAAAATACATAATTTCTGAGAAAAAAATGAACAATAATTACATATTCAGACTCCTAGGTAAATGCCTTTACTGAATTGTCTGTATTAACTTTCAAGTCAGCCAGGTGAGGTGGCACACTCCAGTGATCCAAGCTCTTGGGAGACAGAGAAAGGATATTACTAAAGTTTGAAGCTAGCCTGGTCTGCATTGCAAGTTTCAGGCCAGCCAGGTCTATGCAGTGAGACAGTTATTGCTGTTTTAAGACAACAGAAATAAAAGCAAAATACTTTCTGACTCTTCCATGTAGATTAATATCTTTTGATTAATCTACATTTTCCATCCTTGTGATGTTTTTGTATTACTTTACTTTCTTTAAAATTTTACTTTATTATTTTTATAAACTATTTTTTTCTATGACTGGCCATACCCAGTTTTTTACTGTTACCTATTTAGAGGTTTTTCCAGCTTGGACCTCTATTGCACACCTGTAGCCTTCTCTGACCAGGTAAGCCAAGCCTAAAACCCACCGTGGAGCTCTGTGCTGATGGCTGGCTCAGTCCCACTCAGGTCTATGAGAGCCTTATGCCCATGTTACAAGCTAGGAGCAACATTTACCTGCCCAAGCTTGAGGAATTTGCTGAACCCATACTGTTTCTACTTAGCCTATGTAAGCCACAAGCACTGGGACACTACCATGTCTGTTTTTTTTCCCCTTCTTTCCTTTCTTCTCCTCAGTCGTGTCCATTTTTTTCCTTCTTCCTTCTTCTTCTCCTTTTTCCTTTTCCTTCTTCTTCCTCCTCCTTTTTTCTCTTCAGATTTTCAGGCCCTATGTGGAAATATGTGCCTGGAGGTTGGGCACCATATGTAATGAGTCTTTCTCTGCCCTGCCAGCCAGTTCCTAAATAATGACACTAGACTTATTATTGATTATAAAAGTTGGCCTTTAGCTTAGGCTTGTCTCATCTAGCTCTTATCATTTAAATTAACCCAACTTTTAATATATGCTCAGCCATGTGGCATTACCTCTCTTCCATCTTGCACCTACCGTTTTCTCTCCATGCTGGCTGGCGGCTGCCTTTCTTCTTCCTGGAGTTCTATCTTCAGAAGTCCTGCCTAAACTTTTCCTGCGTAGCTATTGGCCATTCAGCTCTTTATTAAACCAATTAAAAGGCGCCTTGGCAAAGACATCTTCACAGTGTAAACAAATATTCTGCAATATGGTGGTAGGCACCTGTAATTGCAGCAGTGGGCAGGTAATGGACAAGATCCCTGTGGCTCACGGCCCACTCTACCTGGTTTAATTGATAATCTCCAGGCCAATGACAGACTCTCTCTACAACTGGGGCAGATCACAACTCTGGCTTCCACACACATATGCATGTGCACACACACAAGGTACTCATTTGTGCTCTTATCCTATCACATACCCTCTTCCGGTTTCTCAGTCTGTATTAGCCTGTGGTACTATAGTCTGCTTTTAGAAATGAGATTCAAAAACAATTTTAAAATCATTTAATATGCAAAGTGAAAAACTAGGATATAAAAGCATTTCACATTTTTAAACAAAATAACACCTTCTAAATTATTTAACAGAAGGCAGAAATCCACAATCTTTTATCTGAAACCCCTAAGTCTAGATGTTTCAGAATTATGAAATTTTCAGATTTTAGAAAGGTCATTCAGTGCATATACCATACTGCATCAACCCTCACAAAAGAGTTTGTGGCAGCACCCCCAGTAATCAAACACATTAATATTTATGTAGTAAAATAAATGAACATTCACACAAAATGGGATAAACAGATTCAGTGTCAAGTCAGAATAGATCCAGAAGCAAATGAATTTTGTTACCAAGCTTAGGAAAACCTTGTTTTCAGAACTTCTTGGATTTTGAGAGTATAATTACAAATAAAGGAATGCAAACTTTTAAAACTTGTATGACAAAACACAAAAGATTGTTTAAACAAGTGACCCATTTTTACAAATGCAAAAACATACAACCTTCAAATACATTATAAATTAACAGGCATCTCCTCTTTCATATTATTAAATGTACACCTTAAATACATATACATACAGAATACAATACAATTCATTACGGTCAGTCAATATCAAAGGCACACATGTGCAATCCCTTATTAAGAAGATGACACTATTACATGTGTGGTTAGAGATGGAATTCATCTAACTCTCTTATGAAGCCAGGTAGAGCACTTCCTAAGAACAACACAAGGAGACAGGCTAGTCTTCAGGAAACAATTTTACTTGTGGGCAGTCTCTTCCACAGAAACATGAGTAGGCAACTTTTACTTAAAATGAACACTGGACTTGGCAGTTGTGGTGCAGGCCTTTAATCTCAGTACTCAAGAGAGAAGCAGGTGGATCTCTGTGAGTTCGAAGCCAGCCTGGTCTACAAAGCAAGATCCAGGACAGTCAAAGCTGTTACACAGAGAAACCCTGTCTTTAAAATATGTATATATTTAATCAGTTAAACAAGTAGTATTTTGTCAATTTTAAAGATAAGCAGGTTACTAATGATCTCTCTAGATAGCGGCAGTGTTAAAAATAATTAACTTCATTAGTCTGTAATAAAATTCTGTCTGTTCAGAGGTCACAATCATTACAAAAGAATCAAGATACTGTGCTTGTAAAGTCATTCATAGTCTCCTCTGCTGACTGGTGTGTGAAGAACGGCTTCAGTGGGCAAAGGTGAATGTCGAACATGCGCAGAAACAACTGTCATAGGCTTGAGGACAGTGAACAAATGGCGAGTCATTCTGTTAACCAACTCCAATCAAGACTCTAAAAACAGGCATGAAAATGACAATTAGAAGCTATCTGGATACAAAGTTCACTTTTTAAAAGTTTTAATATTATGACATTTTAGAATCAAAATTTGAAAAGTTAAGAATTATAAAAGCTATAGTAATCTCAAAAATATTTCAAAGTTCTCAAAAATTTGAGTAAAGTATTTATTCATAAGTGGAAAGGGTTGGCATCAAGACTCAATGCAGTGGTGAATTTGCTAAAATTTTAGAGAAGCTTTTCCCGGTATTAGCAAAAATAGTTCACAGCAATTACATCTTGATACAACCATTTTTATTAAGTATCAGCATAACTGATCTTATATGCATTAAATACAAAAATTATAGAGTAAACAGGTGCATCCATTCCACTCAGTAGTCACATTGCAAAGAAAATCTGACCAAAACTGCTACTGTTGATGTTCACTGATGATACAATGCTACCCATCAGATGGTTAGTTCTGTAGATTTGGCACAACCTAGAATCACCTGGGAAGATACTCCCAATGACAGTTAAGACCAGGCTGGCATGTCATATATATTGGGGACTGTCTTGATTCTGTTAAAAGATGTGCCTAAAAGTAGGCAGCACCCTGTACTGTATAAATGTGTGTGTGTGTGTGTGTGTGTGTGTGTGTGTGTGTGTGTGTGTGAGCTGAGTACTCTCAGGAATGTACAAGTTTGTTTCTCTTTGCTCTTGACTGTAGACATCATGTCTAGCTATTTCGAGTTCCTGCTTTGACTTCTCTATGGGGTAGTGTGTAGCCTGTAATTTTAAGGTGAATAAACCCCTCTAAAGTGGCTTTTTTAAGGCTAATTTATCACAGCAACAGCGATGAAACCAGGATAAATGTCCCTGCATAACAAAAGGTTCAAAATATTTCTCATCTGTTTCTTCCTCTGAGTTCTATACCCTACATATATCCCAAATGCCAGACATGGCCAACATGGAAAATTAAACCTTTTGTATCCAACATATCTAATATGTTACACACCCATAATCATGCAAAACTTACCGACATGCTACTGCTCTGTTCCTCATTTGTTTCACGAATAATAGTACTTAAATGGCCAAGACAGTTCAGATTTTCTTCTATCATTTGTGTTAACGTCCCTCTGATGGATTAAAGAGCAAACTATTTCAAGTTCAGCAAAAAAAGCACCTGAGTGTTGCCTATGTTCTGGTCTTCTAGGTCAAGATGACCACTTTCTGCAACCCAACACCCCAGCAAAGCTGACTGCTGCCATCTTCAGTTTCTTCATCCCTCCCACTCAGACACAACATCTCACTTCATCTAAGCCACCACTTCTGCCTACCCTAGTAAGGCCACTGTAACTCTAATCAGGTTTCCTTTGAGACAGGTGGCACTGGTAACTCCTCACCACTTCCTGAAGAAATAACAGGATAGGGGGAAAGAGCCCCTTGGTACAGACAAATGAAATAGCACTTGTTTTGTTTTTTTTCTGGATGATTTCTTTTTCCTTTTACAATCAGTAAAACACCAATATGCTCACTTCACACACAAACAAAGTGGGGGGGGGGGACTTATGGTCTCCAGAAATCCAGGAAAGAGAAAAACTGATTGGAAATCACAGATAGTAGCAATGGAAAAAAGCAAACCAACCGCTAAGAACAGCTGAAGAAATCAGGAGGCCCTGATTCCAGTTTCTCCCCTCATGCTTTCCTCTTCCATGTCCTGTCATGATCCTTTGCCAACACGCAGTTCCTCTTCTCTACACTGTAGGCCATGGTTGGTTAATAGCCACTGTCAGCTTAGAACTAAACACTGATTCAGCTATTATCCAACAGAGAGGAAATTTCATGGCAACAATTTCCTAATCTTGGTAATTAAGATCTGCTTTCCTTTATCAGAAAATGTACGTTGAAAACAACTACACGCTCAAATTGGAAACTACTTACAAGAGCCGATATTTGGAATTAGCATCCCTACCAAGCCTAAATGCCTTTAATGTAAATGAAGGGTTAGGATGTGCTAAATTTTACTTCCTTCAGTTCTAATAGAGTATTTCCTGAAGTCTACAAGTCACAACCTCTGCTATACTTGTATATGCATTCATAGTGGGCCACATATATGGTGACCCCCCAAGATATACACTGGAACTTGCTTTCTTTAAACAATAAAATACCTGATATCAGCTTGCCTTCCTGTCATGTGCTTTTTCTTTCATAAAAGCAGAGTACAGAATATGCAACTGCATGACCTCCTGAGCAGAGATGTAACATGGGTGCACTTCTGCAAAACTAATTATGGGCAGACTTCCAGGAAATGCTTGGTGCTGCAGAGGTCTCCATTAGTTGTGAGAAAAGCGACAATACACAAGCTAGCAAAGAGCCACTTGCACACGGCACACCTTACGCTGAGAAAATAACAGAGACGGACAGTCATTCAGCTTTAGCAGAAGAGTAGGAACTAAAGACAATGCAGGGCTGCAAATCTGAGTTATTTGCAAAATGATTTAAAGCGTTGAAAAAATAAGATTAAAGAAATACTAAGTTATAAAATAAAGTAGGTATTACTACTTTATTAAAAGAACTCAAGTACCAAAAAAAAATGAAAACTGCAAAAAATGCATAATTTCTCATAGAGATAAATGGTTAAGAAAGGCATATGGTTTGGATAAAGGAAAATGACACCAATAACAGAAATGGCTTTGAACTTTAACTGAGCTAATAGTTATTAGTAACACTGAAATTTATTTCCCAAGCATTTTACATACATTGTCCAAATGAATTTTCATATCAATCCTATAAGACAGCCTCATTTTAAAGTGAAAATATATGAACATTAAAAAAATAAATTATTTAGCACTGTTAAATGCTGAGTTGGTCAAAACTGACCCCTGGTCAGAAGGCATTACTAACCACCATGCTCTACTGTCTTGCTCCTACCCCACTCTGAAGTACAACTATCTGTTGTTACAAAGTGAACCCACCCATCGCGAGGAGTTACCACACATGTCAGAGGACGGTCGCGTTCTGGTAACATATGGGGAAGCCATGCTGATGCTGGAGGGGTTACTGTGCCTTCTAGACTGGATCCTACAAGAGAGCGGGCAGAACTCTGTGTCTGAAGGGAAAAAAAAGAACAACACACACACACATAATAAATTGTAGGCAAGCACCTCTTGATTCAAACCATTTTAAAAAAATACTCTTAAGACTATTAATTCAACCATTATTTATATGCACAACTGACTATTTGTAAACAAAACTATTCTTATCACTACTAACTGTACCATCACTGGCCCTTTTCTTCATTGACTAAAACACTTGACTAAAAGTGAATGAATCTAATTTCTCTAATCCAGTTTTGGTTTGGAGGAAGGGAACAGCTGAACAAGGGTTGACTTATAAACAAGTCAGATGCACTTACTCCAAGAAGAGTTGGGCAAGCAACCATAGCAATCCAGGGCAGGGAGTACTATAAAAAAGAGGGATTTAACTAGATATGGTGGTTCACACTTATAATCCCAGCACTTGGGAGGCAGGAAAATTGCAGTAAGGTACAGTCCAGCTCCCAGCCTATATTAGAGTGAGCTCTTGTCTCTAATGAAACAAATCACACACATAGCACCAGCACTACCAGGACTGGAAAGGAGAATGAGAATACACAAGTCCTTGCTGTGGAAAAAATCTTTGTATACTGTAGATATGTATTACTCTCATTGGTTAATAAAAAGCTGACTGGCCAATAGCTGGACAGGCAGATAATAGGCAGGACTTGCAGACAAAAAAATAGCGTGACGAAGAAGAGAAGAGGAGTCATCTCAGGAGTTGAGAGGAGATGCAGAGAGAAAATAAACTTGACATGTTAAAAAAGTTACCCCATGTGGCAGAGTGTAGATAAGAAATATGGGTTACTTTAAAATATAAGAACTAGTTAGTAACAAGCCTGAGCTATTGGCCAAGCATTTATAATTAATAGTAAGTTTCTGTATAGGTATTTGGGAACTAGCTAGTGGGATAGAAAAGTTCACCTACAAGTCCTAACTATATAATCTCTCAGACACCAAACAAGAAACATGTGCACCCAATATAAAGTATAAACACTCAAAGGACATAGCTCAAAGCAACAGAAACTCCTTTGGCATAAAGTAACAGCAATTCAGTATTACATTCACTAATAATTACTTACACAGGCAATTTTAAGGAGGTGCCATATTTCTTTCTGCCTCTTTCCCTGCATAAACATGACAGTATTGTCAGCTTCTTTGATGTTACTGAGGGCAATTTCCACCTTGGGGAGTAGATCAATAATCTTCTGCTTACAGCCCAACAACTTGCTGGAGAGAGGAAGTCAGTGTCAGATACTTGTCACATCCCTCAAGACTGTGCAACATACTCCCAAGCCAGAGGAAAAGGACCACAACCAGCATCGTACTCATGACTGATCTCAAAAACAATGAATATAGGACTCGAGAGATAGCTCAGTGGTTAAGGGCACTAGCTGCTCTACCAGAGGGCCTGGGTTCAATTCCCAGCATCCAAATGGCAATTTGAACAATCTGTAGCTCCAGTTCGTAGCTCCAGTTCCAGATCAGAAGCCCTCTTCTAACCTCACACACGTGGAACAAATATGCAAGCAAAACACCCATGCACATAAATAAGGTAAAAAATAACACACATATACTCAGGACCTATAAATGGCTATGTTTTTGAAGACATTGACCCAACTATTATTTACCAGAGAAGAATATTATACTTTAAAAGAACACAAATGCATAGGCATTTAGGACGAAATAAAGCAATTTTCTACCTCAGGTGACCAAACAGCTCCTTGAGAACACGGTCTTGACTCTGCACAGTGTGCACAATGATCTTCACCATCTCTGTGCTGTCGCTGTAGGAGTGATCTGGGAAAGACTTCAGTTAGTACCGTTGTAACTTCCTTTTGCAGGACACAGCGACTTCATAACAAAAAATTCCTTAAAAATGCTTAAAAGCTGCAAGTAGTCTAAAAAGCATCTCCATTTGTTATTGGAGTGCTGCCCTTGAGGAGATCTCAGAAGTTGTGATCACCTACAGAAGACTAATGGTCTGTCATGGTGTGGAAAGGGGCTCCTGAGACCTTCCCATAATTTATCCTTCAATCCCATAATTTATATAAAGTCTAAGGAATTGGAGGTATATTTATAAATATATATATAAAGTCTAAGGAATTGGAGGTATATTTATAAATATATATATAAAGTCTAAGGAATTGGAGGTATATTTATAATATATATATATATTTTGTTTGTTTGTTTGTTTGTTTTTCGAAACAGGGTTTCTCACTGTTGCTTTGGAGCCAGTCCTGGAACTAGCTCTTGTAGACCAGGCTGGCCTCGAATTTATAGAGATCCGCCTGCCTCTGCCTCCTGAGTTCTGGAATTAAAGGTGTGTGCCGCCAACACCCAATGATAATTTAATTTTTTTAAATTTAAGTTTTAATTTAAATTAAAGTTTAATTTATAAACTTTTGATGGGAGATGTGAACAGTCTACTCACACTAGATAGGACAGCAGTGACAGGCAGACTAATGATGTGACCCGAGCCTTGTTTGGTGAATCTGAGTTTCATTAGGACCACTTGTACACGCTTCAGTGACTACACTTCTGAAGAAAACCTCTCTCCCTTTTCTCTGTCTCTATAGTTCAATGATAACTACACAAAAATTGGGTATAGTTACCAAGAACCCTTGTTGCTCTTCTAGAAGATCAGATTTGCACCCATGTTAGATGCTGGCTCACAAATGTCTATAACTCCATTTCCAGGAGAATCTGATGCCTTCTGTCCTCTGTGGGTACCCCTACACATGTAGCATATACCCATACCCACAGACATAAATATTTTCTAAAAAGTAAATTTATGCATGTTTGTATCTGTTTAATCTTTAGAGACTTAAGTTTTAAGCCTGTGTTTAAGATGAATAGCCTGGTTGATCTTTAATCTGTACTAACCCAAATTCAGACACAGACGCAACCTTTGGTCAAAAGACTAGCTTTCTTACATGACTAACACTGCTCACTTAGAACAGTGGGGCAGTCAGGCTTTCGCTGCCTCAACCAGGCTGCTTGGAATTTCATGCTAATCCATCTGTTTACAGCTCACAAAAACTTCATCTGAAAAAAGCTGACTTACACCAAAATGAAAAGCGATCAGTGGACACCCAGAAATTCACCATAAAGCCAACTGGCATCTGGCAGATGTCCTCAAATGGGATGGTTGTTGGTTACACTGAGTTCTATACTTTATAAGTGTATCTCAGTTTTTAAAACTACTAGCATTAGTTATTATATTTCTGATTATGACAATTTAAGTTTAAATGAGCAAAAAAGTGCTGATGTTTCAACCTAGTATTTTCCTGGGAAAAAACCTTGAAAGCAAAAACTGCTAATACTTGCAAATAATTGCACCAACTTTCCTCATTTAATGTTTTTCTATATTACTCCCTAAAAGAAAACTATGGAAAGAGTTTCAAAAGAGGTTTGAAAGGCTGTGGAATTGGAGCACAGAGGTAGAGCTAGTGCCTGCCAAGCATATACAAGGTATATATATTGGATCCCCAGTACCACAAGAGAAGGGGAAAAAAAAAAAAACTCCTTTTTAAAAAGCATTCCAGGGCTAGAGGAATGGCTCAGTAGAATGGCTCAGTAGTTACACACACTAGCTGCTCTTCCAGAGGACCTAGGTTCAATTCCCAGCACCCACAAGGCAGCTTACAACTGTCTGATTCCAGTTCCAGTGAATCTGGCACCTTCATACCACATGCACATAAAATAAAGTTAAATATTAAAAAAAATTTTAAATAATAAAAATCACTCCAGAAACCTCTTCACAGCCCAGCTTCATTCCCAGAATCTGTCTCTTTCTCTGCCTCTCCCATACCTTTACCCAAGCAGATACAAGACTCCAAAAACACTTTTCTTCAAACAGTAGTCCTTCATAAATTCCACAAACCAAACCCAAGAGGTTTCCCATAAAACTAGCTTTTAATGGTAAAGACATCAGAACTTCAGCTTTTGCCAGAAAAGGCCAAAGAAAATTAGTTTCCACTGTTTTCAGATTTAACTTTCTGCAGGAAACCACATCTAAACAACCTGACCACCAATAAAGTTAAGTGCCTGTCTGACATGTATTTCACAAGTATTAATGGCAATAAACTGAACAAATTCTACTACAACAAAAACCAGCATACTGGGCTGGAGAGATGGCTCAGCAGTTAAGAGAACTGACTGTTCTTCCAGAGGTTCAGAACACCCACATGGTCACCTGGAACTCCAGGTCCTATCCAATGCCCTCTTCTGGCCTCTGTATGAGTGTACTGACATATAGGAAAACACCCACACATATAAATTAAAAATAAAATCTCAAAAAGAATTTTTTAAACAGTGCTTGAGAGCATGCTGTTTTTTTTAAAGAGTGTAAATAATGTATAAAGTTGTATATGTAGCTATATGTTTATAAATTTTCAGTTATAAAACTTGGAAAGTTTATATAAGTTATACAAAACATTAAAACACAATATATATTCAGGAGCAGAGATATCCCTTTTATTACTTATGTAATCATTCAAAATAAACATATTTTAACTAAAACAAAAGTGTTTTGCAATACACACACATACACACACACAACTTTATTGTTTTCAAAGCATTTCATAAGCACTCTGTCAAATATACTGCCAAAGCTTACTGAGTTAGAAGGCTAGGTTTCGACTTGTTTTGCACAAAAGGGAAAGAGAAACAGGGAGAAGTGTTGGAGATTATTTGGTCAGTAAAAAGCTCAATTTAGAATTCAAAGCTTCTGGTTTCCAACCAACATCCCTTACAGCAGACAATGCTCTGTATTTGGCAGATGTTCATATGAATTGTTGCTCAGGGTCCTATGAGCAATGACCTGTGGTGGTGGAGGCATGGTTTTTTAAGACAAATTGCTTCTGAACAGACTATGAGTTTTTTCTCTTATTTCACCCAGAATCCATTGTGTTGAATTCTTTCCAACCTCTCTAACTTAAGCAGTATTTTCCCCTAGCTCTTTTATACATTTTTTGCTGTTTCTTCCTTTTTGTGAGGGGAGGCTATGTATGTATGGAGGCCGGAGGTTACCTTCAGGTATCTTCCTTGACAGCTCTCCACACCTCATTTGTTGAGCTAGGGTACCTCACTGAACCTGAAGCTTGCTGTTTCAGCTAGACTGGCTGCTGAGTCACAGGAATCCATCTGTCCCCACATTCCTAGCACTGCTGGGATCACAGAGGGTGCTGCTATGTGTGGCTTTTATGTGAATGCTGGGTGTCTAAATTCAGCTTCTCGTGTTCTTCCTTGTTTCATTTTCTTTTTGAGTTTCTTTTTTCCCTATTTTCACTTCACTTTAAAAACTTTTCTACTTTAATATCCTTATTACATTCTCTTTCTAGTCTCTTAAATTCTTCTAAATTTAAAGTTATTACAGCACAAATGTTGCAATAACAATACCAAAAGCCGATCTTACTCTGAAGTTTAAAAAAAAAATTAAAATTCACTTACTTTGTAAGTTAGGGAGCATTCTAAAATGCCTTTAAATATCGTGATCGAAGTGTCTTACCTGTAGGTCTGTGCTTTAACTGCTTATAGAGATCAATGGCACGCTGTTCCCTATAATAAAAGAGAACAAAAATGTCTCTGTATGTGGAAGTAACTTAATGACTAATAATACATAACTTGAATAATATTGGGACAAGATTCAGTTTTTAAGCAAGTACAGATCATCAATGAATATTTTGCAGAATATTTCACCGAATAATAAGAATACAAGTCCTTATGCCAGATGGTGGTGGCGTACACCTTTAATCCCAGCAGTTGAGAGGCAGAGGCAGACAGATCTCTGTGAGTTCAAGACCAGCCTGGTCTACTGAGCAAGTTCCAGGACAGCCAAGGCTACACAGAGAAACCCTGCCTTGAAAAACAAAGACTACAAGTCCTCAAAACATAGAGCTAAAACAAAGCAAAGCAAAACAAAACAAAACAAAAAAAAAACTGCCTGTGTGTTCTATCTTTTTGTGTGCGTATTCCATGTGAAGTGCTCAGAAGATAAAACTGGGTGTCTGTCCTTGCTGTCTACCTGAGACAGGTCTACCTGTTGTGTGCTACTGCCTGTGCTAAGCCAACTGGCCTGCAAGCTTCTGCCTCTGTCTCCCTCTTGCTGTAGAAGCACTGATATTACAGACATGCTATCACACCTGGCCTTATAAGTGGGTCCTGGAGATTCAAAACTCAGGTCCTCAAGCCTGAGCAGCAAGTGCTTGCCATCTCCTTGGTCTCCAGAACATAAAGTTTTTATATACTGTATATCTGCTCTTGTCTCCCACCACAAATGTAACACCCATGTACCACAAACATTTAAATGAGAAAAAAATTATGGCTTCTTATTAGAGAAAAAAAATCTGAAGTTTCTAATCTAGACACTTAGGAAATTAACCTCAATAGAGGAGTTAAGACATTATACTTTTAACCAAAAGAGTAGTAAATGGGAAATCATTTGTAATTTAAATATACTTTAAAAAACACATGAAAAAGACTTTTTTAAAATAGTAAAGAACAATCCAGAGAATTATTTTCCAAAACTTACTATTACCAAGAAATAGCTCCCTTTTAAGATATCTTAAGGGCTGGAAGATGGTTCAGTGGGCAAAGGCACTTGTTACCAAGCCTAACATCCTGAGTTCAATTCCTGGGCCCACCACGGTGGAAGGGGAGAACCATCTCATAATTTTGTTCTTTGATCTCTACATGTACACACTGTGATGTGTGCACACACACCCCTGAAAAAATGTTAAAAAAATCATATCATAGAAACATATTAGGGGTAAGAAAAACTATGAGCTACACCATGTAGAGGCTTAATCCTGCCAGATATAAGCAGAAGAACAACACAGATAATTACAGAATCAAGACCAATAGCACAGACACATTCTTACAGAGATTCCATTAAGTCTCCCTGGCGTCTTCCATAGGGGCTCTTCTGAAGCTCCATGATTTCAGTATGCAAAGACATAATCTGATCCTCAAGGTATCCAATGACACCAACCTAAAATATGATACAAAGAAAATGACTACCATATAAAACAAGGCTCAATGGTCACCAAAGACATGGAAAAGCTGGCCCCAATGGCATGGGCCTAGAAAAGCTGGCTGTGCCCCACACCCAACGGCCAGGACCAATCAGCTTGGCTACCACCCAGACCCACATCCTGGGCCTTTGGTTGGCCCACTTTAAGAGCTGCTCCATTTATGACCTGCTGGAGTGCGCAAAGGGACTGATTCTGCGCACCATGATTCAGGGCAACAGCAGGACATCAGAGAGGACTTTCAGTGATGATGGTGTGCCAGAGGCCTTGAACCAGACCAATGATTCATTGCAATGAACATTTTGCTGGTGAGTCTGTGTGGACAAAGGGAGTATACTACATGACACACTGCAACTCTGGAAGCCACTAAGAGGTGTTGGAAAGATGGAGGAACAAGGTGGGGTTTTGTTTGTTTAATTTGGGGGTGGGGCTACTGCAGGGGTGAGTGGCAGATATGGACGGACTGAGAGGTGAGCGAGATTGGGGTGCATGATGTGAAATTTCCAAAGAATCAATAAAGAATTATGCTTTGTTTAAAAAAAAAATGCTTAGAAAGGTAGAGAATGATCTGTTATGCTAGTAGAACTGAATATTTCACTACAAAGTAATTTTGTTAAAGCTAACTGTTTGTTTATTTAATGAGATAGCAGTATTATGTAGCTTAGGCTATTCTTGAACCTGTAATTCTCGTCTTGATTTCCTGAATGCTGGAATTACAGGGTAAAGTACCACACTAGGCTTGCTAAGACTCTTTAAAAAAAAAAAAAAGAGAATATTTAGTAATTCTTTGAGAATTATATAGGTGCATGCAATATAATTTGATCACATTTACTCCCATTACTTCTCTAAATTCCCCTTTTTTGGTTTTTTTTTATTTTTTTGGTTTTTCAATAACCCATAGGGTCCTATCTGGACTGCTTATATACTAATGAATGTGAGGCCATACAACAGGGTATGGTCAAACTACTAAGGGCCATCTCTTTAAAGAAAACTGACTCTCCCTCCCCCAGTAACGGTAACTTTTAATAGTTCCTCAGCTATGGTAGGGGCTTTTTTATGCTTCTGACAATCTTTCAGGTACAATGGTGCATACCTTTAATTCCAGCACTTAGGAGGCAAAGACAAGAGCATCTCCATTAGTCAAGCTATCTTGGTTTACATAGTGAATTTCAGACCAGCTGGGGCTACATAGTGAGAGCCTGTCTCAAATAATAATAATAAATAAAAACTTACTTATTTCCGTGTTTCCCTTCTGACTATAGTCAACTAGTACTAGCATTTGCTTTGGCATCTGGAAAAGCAAAACTAGTGTAAGTGCCATTCACAAGACAAATGTCCACTGCCATTTCTTACATAGCAACCCCACAATAACAACTGCCCTATCCACACACTCAGTGTAGTATGAATTGGCACCAAGGAAAGCAACAGTCCAGAACCATGGACATATACAGTATAAGGAACAAATTTGCCACCTAGGGAACAATCTGTACCTCCCTCAGGAGACCATAATTATGGAACAACACCAGGTATAAATAGAACTGTCCCATTTAAAATAGATGTGAAGCCATCTTATCTAAACTATTCATAAAAATAATAGTAATACATTATATTTATTATTGATTTCCATTTAATGTTCATAAGCCTATTAGAAAAGACTGCTGCCCCTA